GCATTCCAGCAGGACATTGATCCTTCTGTTTCCCTGTGTGTAAAAGCCAAATCAAAGACAGCAAGTGGTCTTGGGTCTGTTATCTCACACCCGTGTGTCTGCCTTAGTGGGTTATGCTGCTTTCAGTTTTCAGGGCTCATCGTCGAGTGTTTGTGTTGTAATTCAGGTTGTAATTGAAACGGGGCGGGTTTGGTCTTGTTGTTTCTGCTTTGATCAGATCGTGACCCTCTCCTTGGTGGCAGAGCCCTCTGCTTGAAGGCAAGCCTGGGATGCCAGGTCTGTTGTGAAGTCTCTGGGTAATGGGAAGAGCAGCACACAGCTCAGAGCAAGCCCTAGAGCAGGCTTGGTGTTGCGGAAGGATGGAAAGTACGTTCTGTGGCTGGGAGGGGTTTAAAAGGAAGAAATGTCCCTGGCAGCAGTACCTTGTGCAGACAGGTGCATGCAAGGCTGGTAACAACCCGGCTATCTGTGCCTGCTTGGCCTTATCTTGGGAATTTGGTTTGTTGGATCAGTCGGATGCTTTCCCTCTTGTGCCTGCGAGAGAGGGCTGTGTGTGTCTGCATGCAGCTGCCTCTGGAGATGGTAACAAGAATGGCTGCATTGCGAGGAGAGCCGAGCTGGCCAGAGAAATGGCCCTGTCAGTCTGAAATTTGATCCTGACACAGCGCAGGTGCTTCCAGTGCTCGCTGGCCTTGTGGCTGTTTCCATCCACCACCCATCACCTGCAGCTCTTCCAGAGCCGGCGGTGACCTTGCAGAGAAGTCACTGCAGAGGGGCTTGCTGACCACCCCAGGTGTGTGTTACCACCTTGTCCTGCTGCAGGACCTCAGCACGTGAGCTTCCATCCGAGACTGGCTGGAGGTTTTGGCTTTGAGCTGACTCACGGGCATATTGCCTGTGTTTCCTCTGTGGAAAACGCCTCGTGCTGCCTGCTCCGTCTACATGGGAGGCAGCAACTCCTGTTTGTAAGAGCTGTGGAAGAGCAGCACCTCCCGTCACTGAAGAGATGAGGTTGCTCAGGACCTTGTCTGACACAATTGCATTTGGAAAAGTCACAGCAAGGCAGGCGAAGAACAAGAGGAGGTTTTGAAGTTGTTTTTCCCCATACATTAAGCCCGACCCTGCCGTTGCCAGCTGCAGCCCTGCTGTGGTCGCCGTAAGCTGGTCTGAAGACAGCGTGGACCCGTAAGCCAAGGCTGTGGCTGGTGGCACATTCATCCTCCGGGACGGAGACAGCAACTTCCTGCAGCTTTGCAGCTTTGTTTTATGGGACACCTCGATCTGGGAGGGAAAGGAGTGGGGTAAAGAGGCCTTGGATTTCCTTCCCTCCTGTTATCCTTGGGGTGGAGTTTCCTTTCTGATGAACAAGCAAATCGGCAAGATACAGGATCACACTGGCAGCT